ACAGAAGCAGTTCTAAATGAGTTCAGCTGGGAGTAAAAATAGCAGGGAACATGAATGCAAATCAAAATACACCAGGAAATTTAAGTACTTTGACTGCCCAGTCAATTAATTTGCTTCCATAATTACAGTTATTTGCATTATTAAGAGAAAAGCATTCTCATAGACAGAAGTTACTCAGACTAATGTAATGCACATTTCCTTCCCAGATTTCCATTAGAGAAAATAGATCTTGGAGAACATGATGCAAGTCTGAATAAGCTGTATAAAAATAAAACTGATATCCTTGTGAGATTAATGGCTGCTTCAAAATAGAAAAGGAAAAAAAAAAGGTATTTCACAAGTAAGGTGCTAAACAAAAATTGCATTTGTAATCCATAAAGGAGAAAGAGAGATTCATGCTGTCTTTGCTTCTGAGGGCTGCTGCCATGTGATTATTGTGTAGAGACAAGATATATTACAGAATTAGTGTGTGTTCAGGAAGGGTTCAGAGAGAGATCAGCTGAAGCACAATAAAAAATAATGGGATTTACATCGAAAATGAAGGTAAATAACAAGGGCACAATAAAAAGATATAAAAAGATGTAGCAATGTAGAAGAGGTAAGTGGAAGCCTTCTGCAATTCCTGCCTCTTCCAGAGGTGAGCAAGAGGTGGAAGATGCAGAACTGCAAAAAAAGAACTGCCACTGCATGGGAAGCTTGAAGGCCTAGAGAGTTTAATGACGTTTATAAAGTTAAAACCAGTTCATTCTCCCATGGTTTGCATGTTCGTCTTGACAAATTCTTCCTGCCTCTGCCTCTGTTTCTGTCTCTAACGCAGCAGGACTCCGAGTGAGTGACAGGGAAGGTGGCAGGGTGAACTCAGCCGTGTCATTGCTGCAGCCAGCAGGAACCTTCGGAGGTCTGGGACCGTGGTGCCCACAGTTGTAGAGCTGAGCACAATTACACATTCCCCTGGTGTTCCCAAAACACCGATTCAAGTTATCCATGACAAAGAAAGGGAATTGCATTTCACTAAGTACCCATTTTGTTTAATCCCAGGTAACAATCATTATGAGCCTGTTCAACCAGATCAGAGCAAGTTGGCCCTGATCTCTGCAGGTCCCACAGGGTTCCTCAGGAGCTGGAATTCATCTGGAATTCATCACAGGACTGGAGCAATTAGAAAGTAGTAATTAAGTGCCAGTGCCTCGTGCCACAACTCAATCAATCAGTCAGAAACACTCTGCTCTGCTTGAAACACAGAATTTGACTCCAAGATTTAAAACACAATGGCACAACCTATTTGTCAGCATTAATAACAGACAAGAGCACGTGTGTTTCAGCCTGTTTAATGTACAGGTGAAGCCCCAGAGGAAATGCTGCTGTGGGGTTAATGGGCCCCCTGAGGCTGGGATCCTGCTCTGGCCCTCACTCACTCACTGTGGGTGAGTGGCACAGGCCCAAAGCTGTGCCTGGCAGAGAATATGTTTGAAATTCCACCCAAGAACAGCCTTTGGGATCTCTGATAATAACAGAGATTTGAAAAATTCTATTTTCACCTTTCCATGGTGGTTTTTGCTCTCATATAACACAGTGACATCCCCTTTGCAGCTCCTGGCAGAAGAGCTGGTGCTGCTAAAACATTTCATGGTGCACAGGAACAATGCCGTACTCAGTGAGCACTTCTCAAAACAGACTGGTTCCACAGCCCCACCAGTCACAAGCAACTAGTTTCTATAGGAACCAGGTTTATCTCCACAATAACAAACCATGTACCAATTAAACAAGGGTTTCACCAACAGCTCTCAGTCTCAAGCAGTGTAATAGACATTTTTGAGTAGTTCCAGCAGCAGTAAAGGAATGTTGCTGTGAACATCTCAGAATACCAGGTGAGCTCCCTAGCTTGCTTTGGACAGCTTTTAATAGACACAAGAATGAGTTAATTGCAGTTTCACCAGCTCTCTAAACAGGGCTGAGGGACACTGCTATGAGCAGCTCATTCCCACATGTCTTAAAAGCATTTTAAAATATTATCCTGCACATCACAATCCCAAATCCTGCAGGAGGTGGAGGGGATCGTGCAAGTCTCTTGGACAGCTTTAAACTCCAGAATGCTCCAGTTAATCACTGCATTTGGGAGCCCCAGCCACTGAGGGTAAGAAAACAAATCCAAATGAGCAGCATGTGGAGCCAGGTCACACCAAGTACTAAGGCTTTTCCTTGCATTACAGAGGAATGCAAGGTATTCCACATACTATTGACTTTATTTTAAGCGATTCCAGTTAGAGCAGAGGTTTCTGTGTCTGCCCCAATCCTGTTTCAGCACACTGTGAGAGCAGTGCTTCAGTTTAACTGAGAGGCATGGGGTTGAAGGTTAAAACTTGGGAGAGGATTACATTTTCAAAGCATTCCTCTTACTGGGATCAACACAGAGATGCTGAGGCCCTGCAGGAATTGTGAGGACTCTGGCAGGACTTTAATCCCAGCTGCTTTTGGCTGCTTATTGTGAATCTGTCACTCAGGTCCCAAAGAGGTGAGGACAATGAGGATCACTGTGACACCACCACCTGCCAGGTGACCCAGCCTCACTCACCCTACTGCACATTTTTCTCTGTATAAGATTACTAACACACCACTTTTGCTTTAAAGCATGCATGGATAGTGCCAGTCTGTTTTTTTCCCCAATTGGACCAGGGAACCCAGGAACACCAGGAGACCATGCACTACAACAACCCATAAAAAAACCCACAAGATCACCTTTTGTATTCATTATTTATTGACTGTAAAGGAGTCAAAGCTCATAAAAGTTACAGCAAGGCTTAGTGAAAAAATATTAGAATTTAAGAAGTTAAAACTTAGCATAGCAAGTGACCAAAATTTATTCTGTGAAGTTGCATTAAGGGCTGTAGGTGGTTAAAAGGTCATGAGAATATTTATTACAAATTCAAAATAAAGACAGAGTGAAGACTAGTCCAGGATTACATTAATTGGCCCAGTTAATCCTGCTGTTTAAGAACAATCATTACAAATATTTCATACAATGCTTAAAACCAAGGAGAGATACTATCTTAATGCTTAAGGTTCGTTTCCTTTCCCACCCAAATTATGGACCTTTAAGGGCACTCAGTGGAGGAACAAGTGCTGTGGAAGCCTTTTTCCCCACCATACACAGCTTTAGACACTGAAGCCCTTACAAAGGCACAGGCTGAGAAGCAGTGGCAGAAGCTCAAAGCTACACAGATGGATTCAATCCCACAGGACCCTCCTCCCTACACCACCTCCCAGTGCTATTCCAAGATATGGCAAAGAGGATCATTTACCAAGTGCATTCCCATAAAGCAATTTCAGTAGCACATAATTTACAAAAGGCATGTGAAGTAAGAAACACAAGAGAAAAGATGAAGCAATTGAAGGAAGTGATGTCAGAAATGCCAGTGTTAGATGAGAAAAGGCCTGATCTGTTAGTCACTACAAGATCTCATCAGCTTCCGAAGCTGATGCAGGAACAATTTTGGATGCAATTTTTGGGTTGTTTTTTTCCTCCACTGATGATCCACACTTCACTAAGAGAAGCATCTTAGAAGAGAACTCAATTCATTCAACACTGGCATTACATTTAATTACTTAGAAAACAGCCAGGAATAAAACACAACCTATGAAACCTTCACTGAGGGGAGACGGGAAAAAACCTTCCACCTCCATTTGTGATTCAAAAAAGGGTTGAGAAGTCAGCTCTTCACAACAAAAGGGTCATAAAATGATTCCTGCTATGCGAGTTCAAGCCATCATTTTTTTACCAGGAGGGTGGGGAGGCCTGGCACAGAGTGCCCAGAGAAGCTGTGGCTGCCCCAGCCCTGGCAGAGTCCAAGGCCAGGTTGGATGGGGCTTGGAGCAACCTGGGATAGGGGAAGGTGTCCCTGCCATGGCAAGGGGATAGAAATGGATGAGCTTTAACCCAAACCATTCCATGATCACCAGAGAACTTAGTAGTGTTTTAAGTTTTTCTGCACTGTCTTTCTAAAAAAATATTTCTTTCCAGGCTAATTGAGAAATGAGGCTAGGAAATACTGTGGAGTAAACTTTAATCAACTGTACCTGTCTATATGGATTATGAATGAACAAATGCAGAAAATTGGAAATTAATGCAGACTTTTGGAAAAACAACACGTGCTGGTTAAAGAGTGAATTGTTGGAACTAAGTACCATTTATGGGAAAATAATATTGGAAACTTCCTTGTGAAGAGGACATGGAAGTTAATTGAGGCATTTGTGCATTGGCCATCACAGCAAATTTATCTAATGACAAAGTGAGTGCTGAGAACATCCCTGTCCCTTGGCCACCTGCAGCTGAGGGGGGCTGCCCTGTGGCCAGAGGGCCTCCCACTCCAGAGCTGTCCCACCCTGCTGTGCAAGTGAGCTCCAGGCTTAAGGAAAGCCAGTGAGAAGTGCTCACCTTGGCAATTTCTCTGCCCAGTCCAGGAGAGGAGACAGGAACATCCTCATTCTCCAAGGGCAAGGAAGAGGCCAGCCTCTCTCACTGCTCTGACAACACCCAGCTCTGCTCACAAATAAAAATACAGAGAAGCTGCACCAGCTCTGAGTACAGTTCTCCATCCTGAGCCTGGAGGGCTTTGGAAATGAAACAGGTACTGTAAGAGGGAACAAAAAGAACAAAAAGCACGTGCTTTTTTTGAGTGCTCTGAAGTCTGCAGTTTTCACTGGTAAGGTAGACCAATAATTCCTGAGGCTTTTATCAGTTTGCAAATGGTTTAAGAATCCAGTCACTTTCTAGTCACTCCACCACCATGAACAGGTCAACATGGCAGATTAATGAGCTGTACCATATTGTAAAAAACCAAGCAACCACAACACAAAGCCAGAAGGGCCATGAGGAAGCAAGATTTGGAAAAAATCCAAAGGAACAATCAGCCAATCCAGCAAACACACTCTTATTACTGGGTGATGCTTGACTTTGATCACTCAGGGAAAGATTCCCCACAAACAACACACAGCCAGCCTGGTTTTAGTATAGGTCTGCTTTTATTTCCATATTCAGCTCTTTGAAGGAGACATCCTTTCACAATCTGAAAGGAGGAGGGTATAGCCCGCTGTAGTGCTGCTTCAGCACACTAAAACACATCATACAGAAAATGGTTCTGGTGACTTTTGCCCAACCCAAACGAACACCTGTCCATGCCCTGGGGGCACAGACAGAGTCCTGGAACCCAAACATTGTGTGAGAGACAAGGGTGCACTGGTGAATCTCACCTCACTGGCACGAGGCAAAAACTGCCAGCTGGCAAGGACTGCACGGGAGTTGGGAAGTAAATACTGGTAGTAGTGGATTTAAAAAGAAAAAAAAAAAATAATCAAACCCTAGAAAAAAAATAATATAAATTTAAAAGCAGCGCCTTTCCAGTATCTCACTGCAGCAGGCAGCAAGACTTAAAGGCACTACAATGTGTCAGAATGGAAAAAATCTGGTGCATCCACCCTTCCAGAGTGCAAGAATATGGATTAAGAATTCCAAAGTTGATATAGGCTTTTGGAAAACAAACTTCTTTTCAGCACAAGATCTGGTGGAGCTGCACAAAAACAAAAAAGAGAAGTGAGTTAGTTGCTGTACTTTTATACAAACAGCTCAACCTCAGAAGCAGACCTGGTGAAAGGCTACAACAGCTTGTGTTTCACCTACTCCTAAACTCATGTGGTTTAAATCCATACACTAAGCAGCTTCTCTCCCTCTTCCTTCCAGAAAAAGATCTCCCATGTATGGAACACATAAGCCAGACCCAAATATAGTCAAAGCTATCAAGGCTATTATTTTTCTACAGCTCCAAGAGACACATGTTGCACCTGAGCTCTTTGGAGGCTGAAGAACTGCAGGGTGACTTACAGCTGCATATTTCCAGTCTCCTCTTCCTCTTCCTTAAGCAAGATCCTAAACATGACAGAGCAGGAACCCACTGCAAGTTTTAAATCCTGTCAGTGTCTGTGAAAGTATTTTTTCTCCTCTATACAACATCAAGCTCACTAAAGGACATTTCCTACAACAGGGGCTGGAAGTAGCCTCCACAGCCAACATAAAACATAAGAATTCACAAGGAGGAGTTGGGAAAACACTGAATTAAATACAAGATTCCCCAACAAGCCATGCCAATCAGTACACAAAAGTCTGCTAGCACATGATCTCTATCCAACTTTTCTAGAAAACAGTAACTGAGTTAATGCAGGTATTTAAACAATCTCAAAATTTTATCAGCCCACAGACAAATGCTGTATAATCTTTAATACAGTATTTAAACTCTGTCCAGTCTTGGACTAACATGCAAATCTTCCAAAAGGTAAAATTCCTATCTCATACCAACTACAATTCCTCCTACTGACAGAACATACAGGTTTGCAACACTGTGTTCATAGGCTGACCCTGACTCTGTTGTGGGTTTGATCTCTCTGGTAAGACAAGATTTACAGAGTATTCTGCTCAGTACAGCTCACAAATCTGACTGTCTGCAATTGATTTTTAAAAAAACTGTCTTTCCTAGCCACAGAAAAAACATAATCCAACTCAGGGAACACCACATTCACCAACCAGTGCAACAGACAGACCTAACTCCTAAAGCAAATTATCAAGTCTACAGCAACAGCTGACAGAGAGTTTCTCTCAGTTATGTTATCTTACCACAGTTTTATTAATTACTCTGGTTCTGCAAGGGTAATAATTTCTTCATTGATAAAAAATTCCACAGTCTCCTCCTCCCAGTCATCGACATTGCTGTCCAGCTCATCTGTGTCTACCCCTGCAATGGAAAAACATCAACACTGAACACGACAAACAAGGCAGCAATGGAATGATCTGATGCTCTTGGCAGAAAGCCTTTAGATCAGCAGCGAAACAAGAGCTAAAGAGGTATTTGGTGCTTTAAATCCTAACAAGTACATGTGAAATTTATTCAGTGATATCCAAGGCATTACTGTCTCCTGCTACAGCTTTATCCCGGGGTCAAACCAATGCCTTTTTTCCCCCCTTAAAACCTGCCACGATTCAGGATAAAAAAACCTCCAGAGAACACATGACTGGCTTTAGCAGGAAGCAGAGGGAGAAGAGCAGGGGCTGAGGGGCCTCATCCCCCTCTGAAGGAGGAGTTGCTGTGGCTGTGCCCAGCCCTCTCACCCCCGCGCAGCTCCAGGCGCTCGTTGCGCTGCTCCATGTACAGCTCTTGTGCCATCTTGCGGTACTTCCTGAACTCCTCCATCATCGTGCGCCGCCGCTCCACCAGCTCCTGCGGGGCACAAAGGGCTCTTCAGCCTCCCCCTGAGCCAAACCCATCCCAGGGCTCTTCAGCCTCCCCCTGAGCCAAACCCATCCCAGGGCTCTTCAGCCTCCCCCTGAGCCAAACCCACCCCAGGCCTCTTCAGCCTCCCCCTGAGCCAAACCCCTCCCAGGGCTCTTCAGCCTCCCCCTGAGCCAAACCCCCCCCAGGGCTCTTCAGCCTCCCCCTGAACCAAACCCATCCCAGGGCTCTTCAGCCTCCCCCTGAGCCAAACCCATCCCAGGGCTCTTCAGCCTCCCCCTGAGCCAAACCCACCCCAGGGCTCTTCAGCCTCCCCCTGAGCCAAACCCACACCCCAGGCATGCCTGTGTGAGGCAAACTTTGTTCTCATAAACACCTTCTACTGACTTAGAAGAAAAAAGATTCTCTTCTCTAATCAGAATGCTGTTTTGGTGAGATGTCCTTTTTTCTAATTGAAAGAGCTTTTCTTAATTTAAACACTGGCTAATGCAGCAACGTGCTAAGAACTCCAAAATGTTACCACCTTTGCTTAACGACGTAACACCAGTTCCTCTCCAGACTCTAAATTTACAGTAGCACCTCTCTGAACTACCCACTGGACTAATTCTACCCGTCTGGATCAAATGAACACTTATGATACAGGAAATGCAACTTACATATCACCAGTACAAACTAAGGATAGGCTACAAGAGTTTCATCTATAATATATTTCAAAAGTGTCTTGCCTTTGAAGCTTTGGACTGGCTCAGGCGATCCTTCTGCTCAAATATCTTGGAGTATTTCTTCAGGTCCTTCTTAATTTGCTGTGAAACAGGAAATTTAATTTCAACTGGTGTATCAGACCAGCAATTACAACCATCATCTTCTCTAAGCACTCCTTTGGTAGGCCTAAGCAGGCTATGCCCTTCTCAAAAACAACTCTCTGCTAGGCAATTTCCCTTCACTATAATTTTGTGCCTCCTGGTTTATGGATCATACAAGTGCTTCTGTACACATACAACTAGCAAGGTCTGAAGAGAAAAATTCAATTTACTCTTCTTTATACCCTTTCATCATACCTTAACTGTAAGAACAACTGGTAATCACTTCTATTTTGAGCTTATAATACTGTTAATATCTGCAGACATTCCCAGAAGTGAGGTCCCCCACAGCAATGTGTTTAGTCACACATTCAGGGCAAAAGGCAGTTGTGTAACAAACCTCATCCTCAAGAAGAGAGAGTACACCAAGTATGCTTTATACAACAAATCCATGTCAGCACACAGTCCCTGCAATACCCTACCTTTATCTGATCCTCACTGAGCAGGGTAGCTGGTCGTGGTCTCCAGAGCAGCTGACAGAACCTGTCTTTGTTGTTTTTCTGAAGCAGACGGCCTTGGAAGGTCCATAACCAATATGCATTGTCCACCTGGAAGAGCAGTGCAGAGCTCAGCCAAAATAAGCTTTAACTTATCACTGGAGTGCTCAAAAATAATGTTTAAAACTGTGGTGGAGGTTAAGTCATTCAATCAGAGACAGGTGTTCATGTTCTCTTCCTAATCAATAACCCTTTCCAATACCACTGGAAGAGCAAGCAGGGGTGGGGAAAAGAGGTGCACCAGTACCTTGTGGCTCCACCAAGACACAGAGGTGACAATGTATCTGCCCGTGGGGTCCCACTCCACATCGGAGGCCGTGTAGTGCTCCGCGATGTTCATCATGGTGCAGTCAGACGTGTCAACAAAGGCTAAGGCACCATTCATGCTGCACAGGCAGAACAGGACATTGCTTTACACACCAGCACAGCCTGGCCTTCTAAAAGCATGCCACAAGCTGCATCTCTACAACTCCTCATTGCAAACAAAGTCTCACAGCAGCCAAGAGAGCAGCCAGGTTCCTGCCAGTCTCTGTGGCTGGAAAGGAATGTGGTGGATAAATACAAAATGCCACATAAGAATGACACTTCTGTTTCTATGTTCAGGGACCCTTAAGAATACAAATATATGGGTTAAAGGCACTGTAATAACATGCTCTGGGCAAGCTATAGCCGAAGTTTAACAATCATATGCTTAGACATAGTAGTGAAGAAGAGATTAAAGAAAAGATTTCTAAGATGAACAGCAGTGCTTGTTTGAAAGCACATGAAAGCAAATATTACTTGACTGATTGACAACAATAATTTTCACTTGCTCTAAAGTGAAACTTTGTTGATAATTCTTTCACAAAGCAGCGCTATCATTAACAGGTATTGCCCATGAAAAGACACAAGGCAATGACAACAAATGCATCACAAGACCCATAAGCATGTCCACACTGGATTGGCTCAGTCAGATTTAACTTAAACAGCTGGAAAGTGTTTCTTAAGGTCCACTTTTCTGTTAAAAAATGCACTCTTCATCTGGTGTGGCAAAATAGGAATTGAAAGCTGCAAAGGACTAAGACACATCAAGAAGCTGCATATCTGCTCTGCCTTTGCACAGCTCAGTCAGGATTAGAGCAATCAGCATCGTCAGGGACACCAAACACTTCTTGGTGAGATACTGTAGCTCTTTTCCTTTTTTAAAATCAATGTGGTGGTGTCAGCAACCTGTGCAACACTCACCTTCTGAGGCCAGCCAACACCACAAACTGCCCCTGGGGACTCCAGAATATCGTGTTTGCCTGCTGTTTGTCAAAAGTTTCTGAAAAGAAACAAGGCAAATTCAGAAAAAGATCTCAATCCAATGCCATCAGTTACAAGCATCAACCCCACTAATTTCTCACAAAACATCACAAACAGATGCAATTTTGTGTTTATTGCATCTATTACCAGGGAAGATGTTTAGTATCTGCACGTTTCACTTGTTTTTTACTTACTTATGAGTTCTATTTTCCCATTGTTTTTAACGTGGTAAAAGGAAACTGAAATTCGTGGAGTTTCTCCATGCAACACGGCAAACTTGCTTCCATTTGGTTCCCAAGCAAAGGCTATGATGCTTTCTGTAACAAAAGGAGCCAAAACTCTGTTAAAGGACAATACAAACCTCTGATTTCAAGTAGTTACCAAAGAAAACTAAGATATTGAAGAGAGACAACCCATCAGTTAGCAGATTTTCTTTTAAAACACAGGTTGATAAGGCAATTGCAGGAAGTTAGGGGAAGTGTTTCTAATGATTGCTCTAAGCCTTCCATCATCTACAAAATACATTGCTATTATCAGCCATACCATTTTGATTAATAACAGACTTTCAGTTCTATCATTTCTCAAGTCAGTCACAAGCACAAACAGCAACGGAAGTTTTGATTTGTCATTTTTACACGAGACATTCTGCAACATTGAAATCCCGCTCTTTTCCAAAGGGTTAAATTCCTAATTATGTCAGGTGTTGACAAGAATTTCTGAGAAAGACACAAGCATCTCTGCAGAAAAGGTCAAGCTCAAAAGTAAGGAAATACTTGGCATTACCTTTCATTTCCACCACATCCACTGGCACCTGTTTCTCTCTCATGCGGAATATTTCAAAGTTGGTCACTACTCCCTGTAAAGGCCAAAATCAGCTCATTACCCCAGCACAAAAACAGCAGAGTAAATAATTTTATCACTAGGCATAGAAGGACAACTCCTCAATTAGCCTGTTAGGACACAGGATGAGAGTGAGTCAAGGTTTATTCCTTTAATGAGAGCAGATAAATACAGTATGCCTCCTTATCAAAAACATTCCAAATTTGTTCTGATAAATAACTTCAGAATTGTAGAAAAGCATTTTTTTTTTCAGACTATTGTAAAATTTAATTAAGACAGATGAACATGTGGCACATTATGCAGCTTGACCTACATGTTGTTCAACAGCTGCTAAATTGTGATCAGGAGCTGAGGTGAGGCACAGACCTCACAAAGACTAAGAGGCCACTAAAGTCAAAGCAAATCCTGGATGCAAACATTACATCCATTTTGCTTTCCACATACTTGAAATTCAAACGGAAAAAAATAAAAATAGCTTTGACATAATATAATTTACACTGCCTTGACTTAAACACAGTACTGTAAGAAAAGGAAGCATGAGGAAGAACCAGATTTTCCCAGTAAGATCAAAATCCATGTACCTGTGTGCCTTTGGGAGTCCTGTCTACCTTCACACACAGGTAGTCCCCATTCTTCTGCCAGTGCAGTTTACAATCTACGACGTTGAACAAATTCCGCACACGAATTTCTTGTCTAGAAGGCAGCTGCATCAAAGTCACTCTTGCCGGGATGTCTTTGTCCTCAGGCACCCAGAAAGCAATTATGTTACCACCTGGAGACCATGAGAAGTCTCTAGAGGAACAAAGTTAAAAATACGCTGTTTTAATTTTCAGTTGGATACTACAAGCAGAAACCACTTTCCTCACAGTATCTGAATGTTGCAGACAAAGATCAACTCTCAGTAATAAAGACAGGCACAGATACATAACTGAGGGCAATTTAATACCTAAATAGATTTTTAAGCAGCTATATAAATTTGCTACATCACCAATGTTGTCTCATCAGTACATCTCACCAAAAAGCAGGGGTTGCACAAAGAATAAGTGCCAAAGATCGAAGAACAAATGAGCCAAAAAAAACCCCATTAAATTACCATGGAGACCATCTTCTTGCACCTGGGTACACTTAATTTTCTTGCTGCTTTACAGAGATGTACTTTAAAAACTCTCACAGGAGTCAATGTGTCTTGTGCAAACAGAGCACACTGCTCTAAGCCAGCACAACCACCTTGTAAGGGAGATATTCCCTAGCAAACTGCATTCCAGTCTGGTTTTGTAGAGAAGGAACAGAATTCCTAAGGGGGAGTAAGCAGTACCTCAAAGAGGATTTCAAAGCACAGAATCTACCAAGTGTGTTCATCAACAAGTGGAGAGTTTTTTACTTCTTTTTGCCACTTTGTCTAATTTGACCACCTCAACATGTAAAGCTCTTTGCTCCAGGCAACATGAAGATTGTTCTTGCCGTAACACATCCCCAAACTAAAAGATTCCCGCTAAAGATCACAGTTATGATTTCAAGGGAATAGACTCACCTTATCCCATTGATTTTCAAGCTCTTTTTGTCCAACAAACCCATAGACTAAAAGATGAGAAAAGGATGAATTTTCAAGTTAGTAACATTCTTACATTTACATACATATTTCTCTTCTCATTATTATGCAAAAAAGGCAAGAACTTACAGGTGTTTCATAGATGCTGAGGGTATCTGAAGTCATTCGAGCAAAGAATTTACCATCATGACTCCATCTAAGCAAGAAAGAAAAAAAAAAAAATCAAAATTTGCCTTTTTATTAAATGAAGTCTGGGACCACAACTCTCTACTCTAATTCTGTTTCTCAACCTACTTAAAAATAGGCCAGTGAGCTGAGTTTTCACAGTGGAATCCTCTCTTCTTTTGGCCAGTCAGAATATCCCAGATGATGATAGCCTGAGGGTCATCCTGTGTGTCCATCAAAGGGCTGAAGGTCACTAAATACCTACAAAAGAAATAATCCAATTCATTATTGAAACTTCATCTAATATGTCAGCATCAGCAGGCTTTCATCCCAGTAGTAGTTAAATACCAGGCACTTTTAAACAGCAGTTTCCCTAATAGGACTTTTCAGGGGAGGGAAAAATAAGAACAGGATGAGAAAGGAGGAGAAAGTTTCCCTGGCATCCCTCTGGCTGAAAAGGTTCTAGATTTATGTGCAAGCCCTTCCATATTGATGTTACAAGGGAGGGGAACTCATCAAATATACTGTTACCTATTAGGTGAGTTTTGACATGAGAATAACACTGGTTTCCAACCAAACAGAAATCATTGACCTTATCCAACCCAAATTACAGGGATGCTGGGCTTCTCCATTGAGAGGTAAATCACCTCTTTAACACAAAAAAGCATAAAACCCAACTGCTTCCAAATGTGCTACTTGAAAACTCAAATGAAAACGCATCTCAGGCCTGAAATTATTCTATCCTTCTCTCCAGAGCTCTTTAATGTTAAAAAAACCTTAAGAAATTAATTTCAGCACTCCAGATTTGGAGGATGCTGTTCATGCCTCATTTTTTTTACCCCTTAGCCCAAACCAGCATCATGCTCTGTACCTTTCACAGGGTGAGAAGTCAATGAGCTGCACTCCTTGGTGACTAAACCTTTGGATCTGCTTGAACTTCTCTCCACCCCACAGAGCAATGCCCCTCTGGTGGAACGTAGCCAGGTAGGTGCCTTTGGGGGACCAACGGACGTAGGTCTCTGTCCACCTCTGGATTTAAAAAAAAAAAGTACACACAGAACTTTATTTTCATGCTGTGTCCCTAAAAGGGAAAGAATTCATGCTTGGCTTGTAGCAGGACATTTTGTAAATCCCTTTACTAAGTGAAGATCTCAGGATGTGTGATAATTTTGTGCATGAAATAAAACTCCACAATGTACAGTACAATACTATTCTTCAGGTTGAAAACTGTCAATTGAGACCTTTTCACCTTATGGATCACCAAGAGGTTTTCAGGTACAGTGACCTGTACCTGATACAGTTTGTGTTATAACAATTAAACCCACCTAACACCCTGGATTTCCTTCTTTCAGTCTTGGCCAGAACATCCTGTTCTCAAAACTATTTTGAACAACACAGCTCTGGACCTTCAGCTAAGATAGAGAGATCTCAGCAATGCAGACCACAGCCAGAGACCATGGTGATGAGCAAATATTCTCATCATCCCAGAGCCAACTTCCTCCTACTGAAATGCACAATGGTTATTAAAGAAAATGCTCCTGGGTCCTAACAGCTCCCAGCAAGTCCAGTGCCTGCAGCAGACAGGCAGACTAACTCTCTCTTCTTTATGTCATTACCAAACCAGCTATTCCTCTTTAACACCTCTGTGGTCAGCACAAAAGCAAGGAGTCATCTGAAGCAGCAAACATAAGCACATATTCAGCTCAAATTGAATAGTGCTCCTCAAACTCTGACTTTGCATTCTCAGGTCTTTCTGAATCACCTATAACAGAGAGATGAAGGAAACTAATGGGCATCATAGACCAGTTATAAAAAAAAAACAAACACCACCACAAACTTAAAAAGTTCACTTCACAGTTCTCCTACCAAAGCAGCTAAGTCTAATTCTAAAACACCCTGGATTTCCTTCTTTCAGTCTTGGCCAGAACATCCTGTTCTCAAAACTATTTTGAACAACACAGCTCTGGACCTTCAGCTAAGATAGAGAGATCTCAGCAATGCAGACCACAGCCAGAGACCATGGTGATGAGCAAATATTCTCATCATCCCAGAGCCAACTTCCTCCTACTGAAATGCACAATGGTTATTAAAGAAAATGCTCCTGGGTCCTAACAGCTCCCAGCAAGTCCAGTGCCTGCAGCAGACAGGCAGACTAACTCTCTCTTCTTTATGTCATTACCAAACCAGCTATTCCTCTTTAACACCTCTGTGGTCAGCACAAAAGCAAGGAGTCATCTGAAGCAGCAAACATAAGCACATATTCAGCTCAAATTGAATAGTGCTCCTCAAACTCTGACTTTGCATTCTCAGGTCTTTCTGAATCACCTATAATAGAGAGATGAAGGAAACTAATGGGCATCATAGACCAGTTATAAAAAAAAAACAAACACCACCACAAACTTAAAAAGTTCACTTCACAGTTCTCCTACCAAAGCAGCTAAGTCTAATTCTAAAGGATGTGATTTCACCACTCTTTACAAGGAAGAAAAAATTATTTCAGCCATGGGAAAAACCCTTTTTTTTTTTTTTTTCAATTATAAAGCTGCAATGTCATAAAATGAAGGAGTGTATCTGCAGTCTCCAGCACTTCCAGGACACTCACTGCTCTGTCCTCAATTTGAACAGGTTCCTTGATGTCATTCCAAAAAATGGAAGTCCGGTCTCCTGACTCGAAGATCACACTGTACTGATCCCTGCAGTCAGGGTCTTCCAACCAGTATCGGAGATTCCCCTGAGAAAAACAGAGCAAAAGACTGTTAGTGAGTCAAAGGCTAAGTCAGCAAGCTCCACAAATTAGCATCCACCTGGCAGGTGGGACCTGGTCTTACCAGAGAGTGCAACTTTGGGGTTTTACCACTGCAAACAAGTTTCTGAAGTGAAATTAAACAATTCCAATTACTGGATGCTGGAGGCTAAGAGCACACCATAAACAGGTGGACCTTCAAGGTGTTTTGATGATGTTTAATATTTATTTTAAACAGGAAGTCATTTGGTATTTGATTTTTAAAGAAAAAGCAAACTGTTCTTTCTTCCACCAGAACATTCACAAAGCAACTGGTAACAAACACCAAAGTTTGCCTCAAACAACTAAGAATACAAAAAGATGCTTTTGAAAATCTATTTTTAAATGACTCGTGCAAAATTATTACTTACTTTTAAATAATAAGAGTAAATTAAGCTTCACATTATGTGTAACTATTAAGCAGAAGCACCAAGTTCCTCCCATCACTGCATGATGGTGAGCATGAAGGGACAGCAGCATGTGATCAGCACTGCTATTTCCAACACCATTAACACATGGTTTCTATTTTCATATGGACATTTCAGCAATGAAGTAACCATTTAATATTAAGCTGAATATTCTTTCCACTTTTCCAAAAATTCCTTACCAAATCCTTAAATGGCTGTTTCTCAGGGATTTCCCACTCGTCACTGATTGTCATGTACCTGAAAGAGCAATTTGGTTGGTTACTCTGGTTGGTTACACTCATGGTTACTCCATGCAGACACTTTAGAATCCCCAAATTTACAGATAACACACAATTGCTGCACTCACTTATCAAAGTCAGTGAAGAGGTTGACTCTGAAAGTGTGCTGCTTATCCAGTTTGTATCCATCTGCGTTCTTCACAGCATCCACAGCGTGGGAGGGGGACATGTACTCCAGGAAGATGTACCTGCAAGGAAGGAAAACCAAAGTACAAGACATTGTTGACTACACAACAGGCTAAACACAAAGAAGGAATAATAGGGATGAATTAAGACTTCAGTACAGAGCATCTATAAGATAACTTCTTGTCTTGTGCTTAATCACTTAGGGTCAATAGCAAATTAATCCCCATTCTGGCCACAGGCTCACATACATTTTTTAGCTCTCTAGGCCTGACCTCAATTAATGTGATATCCTTTCTGAAATGGGCCAGACAGAGCAGTGAATGCAAGCTCAACACAACCAGGCCAAGTGAGAGACAGGAACAGGAACATGCAGGTTACATCCACAGCTCTTTCCAGCTGAGTAACAGATCATGTTTAGGAACTGGAACCTGCTGTCACAGGCTTCAATTTTTTTCTTTCAATGTTTTTTAATTACAGAACTCAGATTCCTTCTGGCCACTTAATCCAAGCTAGCTTGCAGCCCAGCAGACTTAAAACTAATGGTATCCTGAACACCATCAGTGTCTCAGATGTATGAACACAGAGACAGAATAATTTTCATGCTGACCTTATAGAAGCAACAATCCCTCCAACTCCAGAAACCTCTTTTTATGCCTTGTAAAGTATGGATTCCTCCAATACTCAGAATATATGCTACAGATATTGACAATCTACTTTGCAACAAACAGTCCAACCACTGCTACTAAGTTTTTAGCTCAAGAGAATCTTTAACTTCTACCACAGCAGAAAACTAAGAAAAAACTCCTCATGTAGCACAGAAATTTGTCTCCAAACCCAGCTAAACTGTCTCCATAATTAATCCCCACCATCCCCCACTATTGAGCCTAATGAGCAATTAAGCTTCTCAGTTCCCTCAGGAACTTGTTTGTGACTGAGACTGATGTCAGGACTGCACAGGCTGAGGTAGAAGAAGGTGATGATAACACCTACAAGGTTACCATAAAAACTGGACATTGACACTAAAAATCAAAGATAAGCCAGAGTTGTGTTTCAGTCCTTTTTCCAGCTGGAATTATCATGACTTACCCTTTTGTTTTTCCATCTGCTTCTGGATAAAATTCATTGATAATTTTACCAAACTTGGAAAATATTTTGTGGATGACATTCTTCAGTTTCTCCAGTCGGTCTGGTCCAACCTGGGGCACATTATCCACGACAATCACTGAGTCTATTCCATCTGCCTCCTGGGGCTGATCTTTCAGGATGTCACCAAGCAGTTCTGCAAAGCACAGACAGGAAACTAAGGCACTGCTCACATCACGAAGGAGGGAAGACAAAGATGAAAAGAACAGTGAAAGTAAGAAAACAGAGAGACGGCAAATTTCAAGAAATTTCAAGAATCACTTAAGAAACTTGGTCGTGAATGAATGTTCTGACAGAAAAACAACTGAACAACACCCCAACAGCACACCCAAAGTGACATGATTATGTGGTTTCATGGCAAACTTTAAGCACCCAACTCTTGAAGTCTTCCTTAAAAATATATTTTACACACTGAGGTTGTCAACACTTGCTCTATCAGTATTTTTCAGCAGATGGAACTGGCTCACAAAGTCCCCAAAACTGACAATAGCACAGACAAATGCATGGTTTACTACCTGACCTCTGACCAGTCCTCCTGCTCACATTATAACCAGATGACTTTGATAAAAATAAATGCAACCTGTACCTCCCTCCCAAATTACACAAGTTTTAGCATAATTCAAAACTATCCACCATACTGGAAGCTCTGCATGTCTCAGCATCACTGTAATTAAGAACTCACACTCCATCTAAACCTTTAATTAAGCACAAAAACAAAGGTCTAAGGCAAGACACTGAAAGCCACATTTAAGCTTTGTGAAGACAAGCACACATCTTTTCACACTGGACAGTCTTTGAACATACTAATTCCTGAATATCTACAGTAAGTTTTAAGATTATATGAAGATCACTAAAAAATACGAGACTACAGAGAAAATAAGTTCACAGCACCACACCTTTGAATTAGATAAAATTTGGAGAGTCAGACTATCTATAGCATGCATAGACTAGGAAAAAAAATCCAAACATATGTAGAAAGACTTAAAATATGAGAACAAACTAAAAAAGGTTTTGTATATGCTGATATTTCGAAGACATTAGATTTTTGATGGTTTTGTAATTCAAGAATTTTTTCTGCCCAGAAACATCACTGGAAAGATCTCCAGCAATGAAGAAATATGAGAAACACGCTTAGTTTGAATTTCAAACTACTAAAAAGTTGATTTCTACAACTTTAAGCTCCAACAGGTTATTACACATGAAGCTTCCCATTGATTTGGGGCAACATAAATCACAAATATTTAGCCCATTACCACCAAGATTATGTAGCATCCACAGAATATTGTTGTTTGTAATATTTATCACTCAAAAATATTATCTCCATGTGCATGCAGGAACTACAATTAACAATATAAAATATGCAAAATGAAAGCCCCACAAGGACATTTCCACAAGAGTCTACTAGCAAAAGGAGAAAACCAAAGTAAACCACAAAAGGGTAATTTTTACAGCTCCTTTAGTCTTTTTTTTTTTTCACAGCCACTTCTCAAAAAAGACTTTGTAGGCCAAGGAATTCATGTTTAGATCCCTCAGCAGGAATGCAACACCCTGTATTGAGTCAAAACTGTAAGAGATTGAAGCCAAATTCCCACACTGTGCCCTTAAATTCCAAAATGTGAACAAAGGAATCTTCAAAGAGCGAGAAGCTGGTTCAGCCAGCTCCTGCTGCAGCCAGAAGGGAAGCAGGGTGTGGTGGGTGCAGGGCTATCTCCAGCTGACAGCATTTTAAGGACCACTGTCATTATCCGAACTAAAGCCTCACTGGCACCTGACTGGTTGTCCAACACATCCCTTCTGCTTTAACCCAGACCTGCTGCTCTTCCATGCCAATGCCACCCAGGAAAAAGAAGAGGCAGCAAAGGATCTGAGATGTTCCAGTGCTAGAGCTGGTCCAGCTCCTGAGGATTTGTGTTATCACAGCATTGGAAGAGCCTTGGTTTGGTCACACTGGGCTGCTTTTCTCCTTGGGAAGGCACCAGAATAATTGGAAAGGAGTAAGGAAGCTCAACTAGCAATACACACAGATGGGAAGTCAGACCAGCAAGAGTGACTAAACTGAATCCCTGTAATTCAGCCACTAACACTGGATTTCAGGCAGCTGAGAAGTTAACCAAATCAATTAACAACAAAATAGGTGGGGATGGAAAATGTGCCCAGTTTCCAAGAAGGAACTGAACATAACAATCCTACATGTACACCAAGTGTATTAAGGAGGCACTTGACAGAAGGAATCCAACTCCGAGCCAATTTTGCCAAAGTGTCTTTAAGAAACAAATGTAAAAGTTCTAACAGCTGTTATACAGACTGCTAAACTGAGAACAGCAAACACTTCCTTAATCTAGGATATTTGGCTGCTGATTTATTAAACTAAACAAAGGACTGGAACACAAGAATGCACCTGTATTCCACTGCCAGATGAGATAACTGGCTGATTTACAGTCCTGTGCTTTAGAAACATCTTTCCACTTTTGATACATGCAACAGACCCTAAAATAGCACAAATGCTGAACAAATAGTGGGGAAACCAGTACTTTTGCTATTCAAAAACTAAGAAAATTTATCTGGAAAGACCCATCTGAAAAACACTGAATTAGAGTTCTAATTTCTGTACGACAAGCCCATGTATAACATTTATTGTCTGTGCAGTTACACACCAGCTTGGCCATTTTAAGGCAGCCAATAGCCACTACTTTTAAAAGAACCTGGGCTGACATTTTTATCTGCCAGAAACAATTTTCCCTATTTTATTGTCACAAAGCACCTACACCACATCTTCACGAGCAGTAGCTCTCCTCAAACCCTATTTACCTACAGATTTCATTGGGGTGCATAGAAAAAACAAAAATGAAACACGGTTTGTAACGACCACATCAACCATTTAAAACTTCTGTTTCTACAGCAGTTTAACAAATGGAGGCAAAAGGAAGGGAGACGAGCTGGTCATTCCACTCAGAGGGCAGCCCACACCTGCGGTGTAACAGCGATTTTAGAACCACTTTAAGAGCAGGTTTTACACCAGCAGCGTCGTGCGGGGCAGCGATAACTCAGAAAAAGGATGATTTAAGCAGCACAGCTCCGATGCACGATGCGCAGCTGCCCCGCAGCAGGGCGGAGGCGCAGCCGGGCCGGGGGCTCGGGCCACGGCGTCCCCCGGCCCGGCCCGGCCCCCCAGGGGCTCCCCGGCTCCTCCCGTGCCGCACCTTCGTCGCTGATGTCGTCCACGAAGTCCTCGGGGTCGCTGAAGGAAATCTCATCCTCGGGCTCGGCCGGGCCGGCGGGCGCGGCCTCCCCGTTCTCCTGCGCCGCGCCGGGCTCGGCCTCGGCCGCCGGCTCCGACTTGGGCTCCGCCGCGGGCTCGGCGCCGGGCTCAGAGCCGGGCTGGGGCCCGGCCTTGGCGGGGCTCTGCGGGCCGGACGGCGGCTGCTCGGGCTCCGCCGCGGGCGGCGGCGGCTCGGGGGCCCCCGGCGGCGCCTGGGACTCGCCTCCTCCTTCCTGCTCCTCATCTTCCTTCTCGTCCTCCTCCTGCTCCTGCTGCCGCGGCGGCTCCGCGGGCGGCGGGGGCGCGTCCGTGTGCTCGGGCTCCTCGGCGGGGCCCTGCGCGCCGGGCGGCGCGGCGGCCGCGGGGCTCTCCTCGGTGTCCTGCATGGGGCGGCGGCGCTGCCCGGGCCCGGTGCGGTGCCCGGGTGTGGATGTGCGGGTGTCGGTGCGGTGCCCGGTGCCCTGAGCCCGCTGCGGGCTCTCGGTGCTCGGTGCCGGTGCCGAGCGGAGCGCGGCGGGGAAAGGCGGGGGAGGGGCGGGGCGGCTCCTACGGCCGGGCCATGTGCGCCAGGCCCAGCGGCCCGCGCGCGCCGGCGCCTACCAACGCGCGCAGAGCGAGAGGGGGATCCCTGTCCCAGCCGCCGCTCCCGCCCAACGCCGCCTTCTCTCCCCTCTGCGCACAGGAGATTCCGGCGACTTTGTCAGCCCTGTCTCGCCCCGTCAGCGGCGGCTTCTTCACCTTCCACCCCACTGTACGCCTGCCACCCCTATTTCTGACTGCTGTGGTTGCGTCCAAGATGGCGCCGCCTTCCATTCTACTGAGGTGGGGTCCGGCCGAACCATTTTTTGAGGGGCGCCGTTACATTTAACTGCGCTGACGCCCAGTGAAATCTCCTCCCTCAGCACACATCGGTGCCCCGCGCTGGGCAGTCGGCGACAGGACAATGCCACGGTGAAAGGACAGCGCACTGGCGCTAAACTCGCCCTACCGCCCCCCTACAATCTTTCACCATGGCTTCACCCGACGGCAGTCGGCGCGCGCGCGGGCGCTACCAAGTTGGAGTAGAGGGGGAGGCGCGCGGTGCTTCGCCGACATCGACGCGGTTGTGCCGGGGCGCGGCGAGGACGGCGGGTCAGCTTCCCCCCCGGAGCGGCGGGGCCGTGTGGGACGGTCCGGCGGCAGCGCCACATCAGCCGGGCGGGATGGCGGCGCCGAGAGCGGCCGCGGCCGGGCGGCTTCCCGGCGCTGTTTTAGTCCCACCGTGACCTTTGTGGGTTTTAAATAACATTTTTCCTGAGGTACAAAATGACAGTGGCCGTGCCGCGGCATCTCTGTCTGCCCGCGAGAAGCCTTAAAGGTCCGGTGGCCTCCCGGTGCAGCCGGGCGCGCAGGGCAGTGATCTGAGGGGTCACGGGGCGCGGTCCTGGCGTCTTAGCGTGATTTTTAAATGGTTTTTGAACTGGTAAAGCTTTTCTCTCTTCATGTTGGCTACCAACATGACTGACCGGAGAGACGTGAGCCCACATTATCGATTAAAGCATCGCATTCTGTCCCGGGCACCTTTGACTGATGAAGAATACAAAGAATACATGAAGTGTGACTTGACCTCTGCCACCATGTGTGTTTATATATACATATATATATATATATATATATGTAGTATATTTTGAGTTGATCAGAGAACTTTGAATTTGATATATATATATATATGTAGTATATTCAGAGTAGCTCAGAGAACTTTGAATTTGCCTCGGATACCGTCTTGAGGTGACAATTTCAGAAAAATTTCTTGAGAAATGGCTCGTCTGTTCAAACTTAAGAGACGAACACTTGCATTTTGAGTAGGATTTCTTTTTTTTTTTATCCCAATGCTTTCAATTAATCATTAAAACAGACAATGCCAGCATTAAAAAAAAAAAAAAAAAAAAAAAAAGGCAGAGCAGGTAGTGTACATGGCATTTTAGAATTAGACTTGGTGTTGTGTTGCAGCGTGTTTGATGTTTTGACACGCTCCTGCGGGCGGTGTTTGGGAGGCTGGGGCCGGCCGGCTGTGCAGTGTTTCTGGGAGTCACACGATGGCATCCGAGCTCCACTCCAGCTCCCCCGGCCGCGTGTGTCCCTTCCCTGCTGGAGGCAGCTCCAGTGGATGGAAACGATGACTGGCGCTTTGTGCAGCAATTTTTTCCCCTCATTATATCGTGGTAGCTGACCAGCCCCTGACTCCCCAGTCAGCACCAGCACTGACACTAAAAAGTGAACACCAAGTGCTGTTTCCTGCCATCACAACCACATATTTTTCCAAATGTGAGGCAGTACCATGGTCCCAGCTGGCTCCTCAGTATCCCATGGCTCTTCCAGAGGTGTGTATAAGGTTGCTTTTGTTTCACCACTCCCACCGTTGTCTGTATTGCTGGAATGTGCAATTTCTGCAATTGCCCTTTTTCCTGTTTGCACTCTTCCAGTCCTTTGGTTAAGCTGTGGATCTAAACACTGGATTCTCCTTTCCCTGACATTGCACAGGCTGCTCTTTGCACTTTCCTCTACTTTTCAGAAACTTTTGATTTATCTGCTCTTCCTTCCTTCTCCTTTTCCTTTCTCTGTTGAAATTTCCCCTCAGTCCTGTCCTATCTCACTGCTATTCTTTTTTTTTCCAGCCCTTACTCAGCAATCTGAGGGAGAGCGGAACAACTTTTAAAAACAGATTTTGGCACTGGCAGCTGAAGCCTGTTCCTTTAAGTACTCCAAATGCAAAACTCCTAATCAATGGGAAATTTTGGGGAAAAAATTCTTGCAGGAAAGGCTTTTTATAACACAGCTCTCCAACCAGCAGTGCCTCATGAATTTTATTGTGTGCAGGTGATCTGAGAATAGTGGAGCTGACAGCTCTGTTTCCTAAACTGAATTCTGAAGGAGTAAGCAAATTCTTGTATGAAATTTCATCTAATCCTGACAGGACGTGCCCAGAATGACACTCTGTGAGGCAGGGACCTGTTTCTGCATTGCTTTTGTCACCTGGAGCTGCTGGTTGAGCCCCTCTGCTCCGCTCTGGTGACACCAGCTGGAGTCCTGCACCCAGCTCTGGGGTCCCAGCACAGCAGGGAGCTCTGGGAACAGGTCCAGAGGAGGCCACTAAGGGGATCAGAGGGATGGAGCAGCTCTCCTGAAGGAAAGGCTGAGAGAACTGGAATTGTTCAGCCTGGAGAAGGTTTCAGTGTGACCTGACTGTGGCCTTTCAATACCTGAAGGGCCTGCAAGAAACATGGAGAGAGACTTTTTACGGGGGGGAATGGCTTTAAATTGAAATAGAGTAGGTTTTGATTAGATATGAGGACAAAACTCTTCCCTGTGAGGGTGGTGAGGCCCTGGCACAGATTTACCAGAGCAGCTGTGGCTGCCCCATCCCTGGAGGTGTTCGTGGCCAGGTTGGACAGGGCTTGGAGCAACCTGGGATAGTGGGAGGTGTCCCTGCCCACAGAGCAGGGTTGTAACAAGATCATCTTTAAGGTCCCTCCAACCCAAACCATTCTGTGATTCTCTGATGTGTTATTTTTTTTTTCTTTAGTGTTTCTTTATGCTCAAGGTTTTCCCGAAGCTTTTGCTGCAGTTACAGCAAATGCAGAAGTGTTCAATAACTTACCTCAAGCAGACTCTTTCTGGCCCCACTGAAAAATTATTTCTGCAATTGAATTATTTTCCACAGTATTTTTCTTCAAGACTCTGAAGCAATCTTCAGCTGAGAATATCTTATTTATACCAAATAAATAGTTATGCTATTAGCTTAAGTACAGACCAATCAAAAATCTATAGCTGAATGAGCACATGTTGATTCCTCCATTCATTTTCTCCAAAAATGCTATATAGGCGAAAAACCCTGCGGTGTTCAGAAGTGCTGAGCACGCAAAACTCCGCTCGGCTGCTGTACAAACATGATTTGAAGGGCCTCTCAGCTTAAATAATGCCATGCTTTTTTAATTTTATACACAGCTTTTTAAATTTTCTACACAGTCTGCACCCACGCTCGTGGGGACTGGGCTGAAATAGCACTGAGGGAGGAGGAAAAGGGGAATGGCTCGACTCATTCACATCTTTGTAGCAGCACAAGAACTTTCAAAGGGGAGCACTGTGGTCACAGTTACCCATGAAATAATTCTCACTTCATCATTTTCTGCTTTAGTTCTCTCTGCATACAGTGGAGGTGGCTAATTAGCTTCCCATGATTAAGAAATATCAGGAATATTAATTAGGGAATGCATGCAATCCTTTGGATGTTGAAAACATAAAGCATTATTATGAATTGTAACATCTCAATCTGGAGGTCCAAAATATATGGGGTTTTTTTGTGTCTGATGGTGTTTTCAGGAAAATCACTGTACAAAACATGCACCTTTTTTTTCCCACCACTGTCAACCATATCATTCCTGACTAGTAAAGTACAGGAAGTGGGAAAAAAAATTACTAATAAAATGGGAGGTGTTCATACATACAGTTCTTGTTTTGATGCAGTTTTGGAAAGTGTATTTGCATTTCAAATGTTCATATTTCTGTGCTTTTCTGAATAGCTTAGTGTTCATTTCTACCAAATTTACCAAAAATCCAGATGCAACATATAAAAACACTGAGCATAGGAAACTTGATTAATGTCCTAGATGGCAGCAGAAATGCCATGGGAAAAGGAATTCAGTTAAAGAAAATATATCAAAATTGACTCGGAGTAATTCATCTGATGAGAGGGCACAGTCTCAAGCTGTGCCAGGGGAGGTTTGGTTGGACATCAGGAGGAATTTCTTCACAGAAAGGGTGATCAGACATTGAATGGGCTGTCCAGGGAGGTGGGGGAGTCACGGATCCTGGAGGTCTTTCAGGATAGAGTGGATGTGGCACTCAGTGCCACGGTCTGCGTGACAAAGTGCTGTTCAGTCACAGGTTGTACTCAATGATTTCAAACACTTTCAATGCAATTGATTCTGAGACTGTGTGACAGGAATCCCAAAGTACAGCCTCACCAGTTATCTACTTTTCCTAGCGCACAAGAAAGCCTCCCTGAAGTTCACAACAACCATCCTTTTCAGATTTCAAAAAATAAAGCGGTTATACTTCGGAATAATCCTGTATTAAACCCATGAGCCGATCGCTTCTTACACGCTGTAAGACACTCGAGAGATGTGTTACTAATCCCGAAGCGGTTCCGAGGCGCTCGCAGCGATCCCGTCAGCGGCGGGGACGGCTCGCTGCCCTGCCGGAGCCCGTCCGAGCCGGGGGCGCTGCCCAAGCGGGGCCGCGGAGGCGCGGCGCTGCAATTTGACACGTCCCCACGGAGCCGGAGCCGGAGCCNCGGCGGGGCCGCCCCTCGGTGCAGCCGCGCCCGCCGTGCGCTGCCCGCCCGGGAGCGGACGGGGCTCCGCGCCGGGGCCGGGGCCGCGCTCCCCGCCGAAACCTGCGGGGAAGCGCCGCCGCCTTTCCCCTCTTCCCCCCGGGGCAGCGGGACCCCGCTGGCCCCGGCCCGCCCGGTGGCTGCCCAGGGCCGGGCCGCAGCGGTGCCGTTCGGGGCAGGGCTCCCTCCCGAGCCGAGGTGCGGGGGCAGCAGCGGCAGCTCTGGGGTTACCTGCCCGGCGGGGCGGCGGGAGGTCGCCCCGGTGGCCGCCCCGATGGTTGTCCCGGTGGCCGCAGGCGGTCAGCTCCCCGCAGCCCTTCTGCGGGGCTGGACGCGGACA